AAAGGTAGAATACAGGGTTGCACTTTGGACACAAGCAGCGGCGTAAAGCGGGAAACACGAAATAATCGGTTTGACAAAATCTAATCGCGCGTGTAGTTTATAGAGCCGGATTCTAATTCCAGAAACCATATGGCTACACTTCATAAAATATAATCACGAATAAAGTAATAAAAAAAAGAAAATCAAAAACAACAACGAAAGGAATACACCAATAAGGAACCAAATAAAAAGTAAAAATATTTGTAACATCAATACGTTTTAATAGTGAGGAAAAATGGCGAGTGTTACTTATCCTATGTAAACATATTTCTTTCCTTGTTGACTCTCTTCTTCTTTTTCTTCGGGTTTTTCCTTGGCTGCTTACAACTGGACTGAATTACTAAAAAGAAACTAAAATATGTGCTACAAGCACTTATATAGACCCCTTGCATTGATGTTCTGGGGGATAAAACAATAGATTGTCTTTTCTTATGAAAAAARAATCCATTGTTTTGTCCCCCAGAACAATTCCTCTCGGGACTCAGTGGAAGGGGTCTATAATCATAATAATATTTATCGAACTAATAAGTCATTAATTTCATAAACGGCGTCAAGCACACAAGGTTGCAGACTGACATCTTTTACAATCATTCATCGATTGGTCAAATAAAGTATGAATAATAATTGTAGTTCCCAATTCCCGAGGAGGAATTTTAATTTACTTAATTATATATTACATTGAATAATAATTTAACAGTTGTTATATCACATAGTTACTTAAAATATACTTAAATGCCATCCAACAGCCAACCGAAATTAAGATAGATTTCTGTGCTGCAAAGTCGTGCTATCAGTCGTTTGCTGCGGCGAGCAGTCATTAAATATTCAGAAAGACCGGGAGCATTGGCTGTTACAATTATATATTATAATATAGTCAAGTAAATCCGCGCGATCTGATTGGTTGAAAAGCATGAACCATTTGCCCATGGGTTGCACGCTCACGTCAGCTTTTTTTGTGTCGGCGAAAAAAAAATTTTTTTTTGTATCTTTTTGCTGCAATTTATCTAGAAAAGTTAACTGAAAATGATTGAAAAAACTAGCGAAAATACTCATCAATCTCCGACATTTAGTATAGAGTTGTCATTTGATCAGCCTAGTAATAAAACGTCAAGATTTGCATCACTTTCAAACAGTGAGCTGGACAAGATTGTGTCAGAGCGTCACTCCAAAGAGACAAAGCAAACGAAAGCAAACCACAAATCGGTCGGTGTCCACATTCAAAGGTTTTAAGCAATGATTAAACAAATACAAAAATATTGTTATCGTGTATTTATTCAACAAAAGTATTTCCAACGTAGTTAACTATAAATATCACGCTCACCATCTACTTCGCAGCTTCACAACTACAGTGAATTCCTTTCTGAAGCTCTACATGGGAGTGAAAGCCGACATAAAAGCATACTACCCAGAGAAAATTAATCCAGTTCAGTCAGTTAGTTTTGATCCGTGTACAAGAAGCTTTCCATTGCTAAGTCATTGTACGATAACAAACTTGAACATCGTCAACAACAACAAAGACAGCCACTGTGTTTTTCATTGATTTTCTTGGCATTACTGTGCTAAGATATCTCATCATTTGAAATGTACTTCTTACAGTTGAAAATCACTTTCTTCGTAGTTTTGGAAATTTTTGATTCATTTGTAATCTAAATTTTTGCCATTATTTTAGTCATAACAGTCTTCAGTGTAAAGCTGCCATTTTCAAAACGACTGTTTTTCTGTTTTTGGCGCCTTTGTGCTTTTCATTCACGCAAGGTGCGTAAGGAGAATTTAGGGCATGATCAACAAATACAGTACATATTTTTATTCATTTCTTGTTTGTTGACTTGACTATATTATAAAAGTAATGGATCATAAGTAGCTGTGCGTCCATCGAGTTATGGATGCACTTGGGAGGTTGCTTAAGCACTCAAAAAAGCTAGAGTTGCACTCCGCTTCGCGTCGTGCAACTCTTACGCTTTTCTTCGCGCTTAGCAACCTCCCGCGTGCATCCATAACTCGATGGATGCACGCTACTTATGATCCATTCCTTAATAAGTATTACCACTAGTTGGATTTAACTAATTAACGATTAGACTATGAGGTCGAGTTTTCTAGGAGTCAATAGATAGTCGATGAGGCATGTAGCACTTTCTTTAATGTTTTGCCTGTTCTTACCGTTTAGTTAGTTCTTCTCRAATACCTGTGAATAAGTTGTCTTCTGGATTTTTTCTTTTCTTTGAGGAAATCCTTTTAAAATGCCATCGCATCTTGTAGTCAGTTGTTCGTCCGTTGTAAGTTTGCACATGGAAATCTCAGTGAAATCTGACGGATGCTTTTTGTTAGAATTGCCATAATTCTTCAGTTTTTAACTTATCAAAACATTCATTCCTTTCCTTGATACAGTCTTGTATTTTTTAGAATCGATTTGTATACGCTAAAGTCTGAATTTGTAGAAAACAAACAGATATTTGAACGGTTAAACTTGACCACGGACTTGTTTGTTTTTCGGTACTCACTATCTATCACAGGATAAATAGCGAGTACGTTAGCCAATCAGATTGCAGGGTTCRTGATAGTATGCTAGTAGGTTTATGCTGTACCGATTAGTCAAATCCATCTAGTCTGTAGTCTATCATAAATGCTGCGTTCTGATTAAAAACCTCTGTGGAAACCTATTCAAATCAGTGTCTTCCGAATAGATTTCGGCTTTAGCTTCGTTGTTTGT